ACCCCTCTGTCCCGCCGTCTCGCTCCGGGGCCCGGACCCAGAGCCCACATCTTGGGACCCGGCCGTTCCAGCCGAGCCCCTCTCCTGGCGCGGTAGCCGCGTCCACTCACAACCGACTCGAGTTGCGACCGGCCCTCGGGCGCCAGCGGGGTTCGTGAGTCAAAGGTCCCCCGCGTTCATTCCTTGCTCTCTGAATTTGTAGCCCCTGACGGAATCGCAGCTAACAGACTCATCAGTCAAACCGCGCCTGTCCATTTTGTCACAGTGACTGCGTTTTCTTTTACTCCCTGACTGGCAGGACCCCCACGGGCCAGGGCCCCACCCACCCCCGGCTCGGCTCAGCAGAGCCCCAGTCCCCACCTCGGGGAGCGAGGGACCCACAGCAAGCAGGAGCCCCGGCCCAGGCAGAAACCCCCGGTGGCGGGCGGCCAAGGCCTTGCGGAGCCGCCTCTGCGCCTCTGCTCCTCGGCCACCGGGTGAGTCACAGGGGTGGGGCAGTGGGGCAGTGACTCAGCGCGGGACGCAGGACTCGGGGAGAGGAAGCGGATTCCGGGTCCACCAGGAGCATCTGCCCGCCGGGGCTCACAGTAGGATCTCCGTGGAGTCGCCGTGGGGTTGGCACGCGGTCGCCATGGCATCTTCACGGGGGTCGCCGTGGGGACCGCGCGCCTCAGACGCTCCGTGCCTGTGTGGGCCACCGAGGGGCGCAGACGGGACAGTGGCCGCGGAAGGCAGAAAACGAAGCCAGAAACGCCACTGGACCCGGCTGATCCCGTGACACAGGTCCCTGAAAGCGTTCAAGTCCTCCTGGGACGGTGGCCCTCGCACACCCGCGTGAGCAGCAGCGCAGCGCACGACAGCTACACACCGGGAGCGGCCTCTGTGCCCGTCCTCAGAGGAACAGAGACAGACCGGGCGGTGCGGGCCCACTGCGGAGTACGACTCTGCCAGGAAGAGGGACGGGCACCTTCAGACCGGGAGGGGAAGTGAAATAAATCGGACTCACGAGCCTCAGTCTCCAGTGGGTCCGCGTGAGTGAAGAACCCAAACTATGAATAAATAGCAAAGTAAAACAGAGACAGGACAGGGAACAGGCAGATAGGGAGATGGGTCCCTCTTCAGACGGGAAGGGGCCGAGAGCCGGAGGGAGGGGAAGGTGCAGTCAGAAAGGTGGGGGCAAAAACTGAAAAAACTCAAAACAGAGCTTCGACAAAGGCGG